GGGATCCAAAACCCTAAATGTAACATGTTGATGATCTTTGTAAATATGCACTTGATTGTACATAAGTTATCCTGGAATATCTTTTGTCTCCAGCACTATATGACGAACATTGCAGGGTAACTGCAAAGTTCAAAATACAAAGACGACCATATACCAAATTGTAATATTGTAGAAGAGGAAGAACTATGAGGGCTAAATGAAAAGTAGAAGCCTCCACTTCCATAATTTTAAATAGGGATATTTTAATAAATGAAACAAAATAGTTCTTAAAAATGCACTCTTGTTACCTGTATTTACTTTTCCACATAATCACTACCATTCACTACATACTTCTGCTAACAATGGACAGTGTCATGAAAGAGCTCCACGCTTTGTCTCTTCAGTCAGGTTCTGATAGTCCCTTCCATCTCTTTATCTGGGGCAAAAAGATGCCAGTTAAGATACCATGAACAGGTGGAAGAGTCTTTCTCTCTCTCTCTCTCATTTTTATTAAGAATTTTTATGTAAGTAAAAAGCAAATGTAAAGAAAAAATAGGAAGGAGGGAGGGAGGGAGGAAGGAAGGAAGGAAAGAGCAAGCAAAAAGCAAAACAGAATGAGAAAGAAAAATAAAGAAATAAAAAATAAGCAACTTCCAACCTTCTTTTCAAGTATCAAACAAACTCATTATCCCTCCTCCCTCTTGGTATTACAAAGATCCCTTCAGCCCCTTATTTAATCCTTTTTCAATAATCAAAACCATAAATCACTCTTTTCCATTTTCAGCAAAAAGTCATAAAAGGTCTCCAGTCTTTTATAAAAGTACTTGTCACTTTGTCCCTGACCAAACAGGTCAGTTTTGCCATTTCTGCCAATTCTGACATCTTCACAATCCATTCCTCCATTGTGGAAGCTTCAATATTCCTCCATTGCTGTGCATATACAGTAATAACCTTGCTGCAGTTACCATATATAAAACCAATCTTCCACGAGTCTTTTCTAATTGGCTATCCATAAGTCCCAATAAAAAGAGTTCTGGCTTTTTCTGAATATTAATCTTTTAATTTTTTTGTATCGTATGTATTTGTAACCAATATCTTCTGGCTTTTTCACAAGTCCAGCATTCATGGTAAATTGTCCCTTCATGTTTTTCACATTTGCAATATTTATTTGACATACAGGTAGTCCTTGACTTATAACCATTCGTTCAGTGACTGTTCAAAGTTACAGTGGCGCTGAATGAAGGGACTTACGACCCATGCCCGAAGCTACGGCTGTTGCAGTGCCCCCACAGTCATGTGGTCAAAATCTGGGTGCTTGGTAGCCCGCTGACATGACTGCAGGGCTGCTTCAACTCCCCCCACCCACCAATCTCCCCCCATTTGTCCCCGTTTGGCCTCCTGCCACCCTGCACTCTGCTGCCCCAACTGACCTTCACTGTTTTTTCCCGCTGCTGTCAAGGTGTGCCTGGCCTGGCTGCTGGACTGGGCTGGAGCTGGGTTTTGCAGTGGGGGGGGGGGAAGCCAAAAGCATCTGCAGAGCTGCGGTGTGCCAAAAAGCTCCTTGGCGGGGCTTGGCTTTTCACAGTAGATTGGGAAAACCTCCTGGAAGCTTTTGATGTTGGACAGCTTTTTAGAAAAAGTACGAAAGTTTCAAATTAATTAATTATTTATTCAACAAATTATCCCATGACAATCAAAGAAACTTTGAGCGGCTAACAATGTGTGTGTGTGTGTGCGTGCGTGCGTGCGTGTATACACACAGTACATGCACACATGTACATACACATACTGCTATAGACCCCTTTATATAGAAAGCAAGAATTAAAACAACCACACTCAGGTTAAAGCTGATCCCAATTACCATATAAAATATGGTAGCACTGCCCCAGACAGACCCAGTGCGTAACTTGGGGGTCCTCCTGGACTCACGACCCCTGCCCCAAGAGCAGGG